CGGGCATCTGGTCAGGATGCCTCCTGGACGGCTCCCTGGTGAGGTTTTCCGTGCACGTCCAACTTGGAGGAGACCTAAAGGTAGACCCAGGACACGGTGGAGGGACTATGTCTCTCAACTGGCCAGGGAACACCTTGGGATTCCCGCGGAGGAGCTGGCCCAAGTGGCTGGGGATAGGGCTGCTCAATTAATCGAATTTTAATCACGATTACGATCTGAGTTTTGAACGATTATAAAAAACATAACAAGCCGATTATTTGCTCCTCCCGCTTGCGCTGCCCTAAGTTGCAAATGAAGCGCTCCTCCCACAGTGTTGCCAACTTTGTGACTTTGACGCTATTTCTAGCAGCTTTTCAGACCCCCTTCTTGACTTTTTAACTTAAAAGTACCTAGCGAACACCTCAGAAACATCTCTGGTAACCCTTAGCTACTTTCTGGATAACTGTCGTCGACATTTCCTGCAGGTTAGCTAAACACTCCGCCTGCGCTCCGGACCGTTCTTCACAACATTAGGAAAGGGAATGATGTAGTGATGTGTCGGTCGCTAAAGACAGCTCTCAGAGCCGGCTCCTTGTTGGAGTAACCAGAGTGAGTGACACACACACCGCACCTGCGGTCTCCTGAGCAGCTAAAAACAGCTAAATGTGCGCGTGCGGCGTGCTAAACACACGTGCAGCTTGCCCGATTGTGTGAGACCGGGGTGTGGGGGTGGGGGGTGCAGCTGTGGTCGGGACAATTATTACATTAACTGATGGGCCTGTAAATAAATAGTTTATAAATAAGGTAGAAATAAGTTCCTCACGCTGATAACTAATCTCTCTGAGGACACGGTGCTACAGCACCTTGACACGACTCAATAAATGTTATGTAACATTTTGTGAACATCAGTTTATTTGCATTTATTTGTTATAAATGCCACTCTATAATTCTTGCTGTCAGTATTTGCAAGATATTGGTATTTGGGTCTGTACTGGTTAGACTTACATGAGTTAAACCAAGGTCTATAGCCCTTGGGTCATAGACTATGAGCTATAAGTATATTGGTCCTTTTATCCTGGGAATCAGGAGTTCTTTTAGTGATCATCTTGTTTCTTATTTTTGTCCTGATTGTGCCCTGAGCAGTTTTATGACTGAATAAAAACAAATAAAATCAACATAAATTGAAAAATCGTCCTAAATAATCGTGATCTCAATTTCAGTCACAATAATCGTGATTATTGTTTTTGCCATAATCGAGCAGCCCTAGCTGGGGAGAGGGAAGTCTGGGCCTCTCGCCTTAGGCTACTGCACCAGCGACCCGACTCCGGATACACGGATGAAAATGGATGGGTGGATGCGTTTCCATCTCAAGACACACACACACACACACACACACACACACACACACACACACACACACACACACACACACACACACACACACACACACACACACACACACACACACACACACACCCCTGTGGGACACTGAATATACACAGGTAGTGCTACAGCTGGTAAACTTAACCATGTTAACTGGAATGTTGTTAACAGGTGTGATGTCATTCTGATTAGGGACTTCCACGTTAAAAGGGACGCACCGTTAGAACCACAGACTGGTCCCTACCAGCAGCCTCGTTAGGCTCCCACATTAAACAGGGTCTGGAAAACGCACAAGTCATTTTTACAAACGGACTTACAAAGGAAAACTTGTCTTGAAAGGAAAATGTTGCAAATATGTACCAAGTTCCAAGCTGGCGTAAGCCCTAGAGAGGAGTCTGGCACCGCGGCCAGTGCTTGGTATGAGGAGTGCTGTAGCAAAGATGCAACCTGCTGGGTTCCTTATACAGGAAACCTTTTAATGATTGACCTAATGACCTGAACTGTATGACAACTTGTACTGATTTGGCTCCCTGTAAATAAACTGAATTCAAACAAGATGATGAAATGGTGAATAAATGCAACAACTTGACTTTTAAACCCTCACCCATCTCTGGACTGGAAATAACAAACTATATTTTATTTTTATGTCTGCTGCCATCTCTGTGGCTCAACCATGCTAGCTCCTGCTGCAACTACGCTGTGCCACTCAAAGGCAATAAAACGAGCGCCTGGACTTCCGCCTGTTGCCGAGATTACCCGTGAAATGCCACAGAATCAACTGGATTATTTACTTGCAGATTATTCATATGGTACTTTGACCATTGATGGCAGAAGTGTGTGTAGGAGGGGGGTATGATCCTATTTTAATGACCGGTGCTGCAGCTGTAAGCAGCGTTTTTAGGTCACATCAGTTTTTTCTTTTGCTGAGCTTAAAGGGAGACTAGACAGTTTTGGCTTGCTTTTAGCACCCCCTAGTGTCCAATTGTTGAACCCAAACCTATCTCCTTGCTGAGTTTGTCTTTTATCCAACAGCTTAAACGTCTCCCAGCCTTCCAAAGCATCTAGAGAAAGGATTCATCACTAAATTAAACAAATCAGCTGTGTTCATGATCCAAACCTTGCAGGAAATGTGCTGAAAGCAGACTGCAGCACCAGGTATGTCAGCTCAGTTTTTTAATGTCCCAACAAAGCGGCTCGCTATTCTGAAGTTGCAAGTGGAATATTGTGGCCGCCGGAGGCGCTAGAGGCTGGGCGGCCTTTGTAGCACATAGTGGCTCAAGGAAAAGATGTAACAAAATGAAAAAGTAGCAACATGTCCCTTTAAAGAGCAAGTCACCCCCAAATCAAAATTTTCCCTGAAAAACTACATAAATGTGTGTCTAATCATGCTGCAGACACGTGTAGTCAATAGTTTTGCACTTTAGTGCATTTTATTAATGTTTATTTTCTGCTTAAAACTGTCAGTGTTGTGCTGTCGTCAGGTAAAAACTCTGCACTGCATTTGAATTTAAAGCTGCCATCGCTATTGGCTAAGAGGTACCCTAGAACGTTAGCAGGTACCATTTGATGTCACAATGTCGTTGTGAGCCTGTGTGTGTGTATTTGTTAGTGGCTCTGCCCTCTCGGTCTGCTAGGCAACAGCATTTGTTGCATTTTTCAAACAGGAAGTGGGAGCGGAGTAAGACTGGTAGGGGTAACTTGTTCTTTAAGGAGGGCTTTAGTAAGGATTCTACACAAAGTTTTATAATGAGGCCTACCATTAATATCCAGGAATATTCAGGCACTGCCACTGAAAAATGCATTGATGATGTCACAGACGCCATGGACCAACCAGAAACTAAACTGCGGGTAAAATGTGAGTGTTTACCCTCCTCATAAGAAACCCCCACATCCCCTACGGGTGCGATGCCCATGGTCTCTGGGAAGATCTAAAGTTCTAAACCATTCCAAATGGTCCAAGCTGTTCTAAAGCATCTCAGTTACCCAGATTCCCTGGGAACAGCTGTTTTAATCAACCCAACAGGTGAAAAACAGCAGACATGACACCTTTTGCTCAAATGTAAACAAAAGCAGAGGAATGTTTTTTGGCACAATAATGCCTCTTGTACACATCGACATACATATATGGACAATGGGTTTCCATAGCTCTAATAAAAAGTTTTTGTACTAAAATGGGAGGTGGCCACCACCGCCATTTTGACCGTGTCACAGGTTCCGTCAAGCCCAGACAATTCCATAAAAGGGAAGAGAGGAGGAGCTGAGGGTGGGGCTGTAAGGCTGGGATCAACTGACGACACCCGGTCGAACTAGCTACAAGCTAACCTGAAGCTAACCCAAAGCTAATGCGGAGGTGGGAGCTAAGCTAACGGAGGTAGCAACCTAGCTACAACCGGAGTTAACTGTGCACAACACCAGAGCTTCGGAGTCAGAGATATGCCGGGCTGACCGCTGGGTAAAACCAGGTGGAACACAGAGGTCTCCGAGAGCTCCACAAGCCGGCAGCCGCACAGCAGACAAGCGCCGCTGCGATCTGAGATGCGCAGAGCTGCCGCTGGGGAGAACCGGGTGGAAAGGTTTCCATCCCAGAGCTCCACAAGCCGGCAGCCCGCGCATCAAACAGAAGCCGCTATCAGACTGAGATGCGCCGGGCTGCGGGGAGGGGAGAACAGGTGGAAAACATCGGTCTCCCGAGAGCTCCACAATCCGATAGTCGGAACCCAGCTCCACCAACATGTTATATTTCAACCCATTTTCTAAAGTGCAGCATTATGTTAAATGCACTGGGTTTTACCCTATTACATTTAAATTTCATGGTTAAACAGTACATGTTAAAATCTAAGCTCAGCTCAGCAGTGACCTAAAATACATAAATATAATTTTACTTCCCGAAAATAATGAAGTGGAGACTCCTTGGACGCTCTATTAGTGCAATTAATGCCACAGCAAGTCATTTCGTCCAACAATTGCACAAATAATATCCAAAAAAGAATACACGCACACAGAGACTCAAAATCCCGGAGCAGTTTCCAAGCCAGACCGAGGCTCTTCTGAGGCCTTTCCACGGAGCTAGCTCTGTGGTCACGTGGGTCTGATGCTCATTAATTATACAGAATTTTACGCTTTTAATACACTTAAACAGAAGAGTGAGAAAAAAATTCACCCCCCTCAGAGTTGTCATGAGTGTAAACTAGATCATTTAAACCAAAAACATGTTTTGGTACCAGGCTGTAAACATGTTTATTTCTGCTGTGAAATTGGTATTTTTAACATGGGAGTCAATGAGGATTTGCTCACTTCTGACACCAGCCCCTAGTGGATGAGGGTGGAACTGCAATGTTTGGTACTTCCTGGTTGAGACCAATTTCTGAGCCGCATTGTGGGGGCTTGCTTGTACATCGTCTTATCTCTTTGGGAGACGCCCATGTCATTTCCTGTTAACTTGCTGGTTGAATAAAAGTAACTGAAGGGGTATGGATAAGTATGGGCAGCACTGCATCTAGCTGTTGGCACCAGGGACATGCGACTGCTCAGACCCACCAGTTCCAGGTGAAAGTGCAATGATTCGTAACTGCCCCTCTACAGATCCCCCCCCCCCCCCCCCCCATTTAGCTGAACTGAGTGTTTGAGGCGGGACATACGGAGTCATCGATGGCGTACGTGTTGATGACATGAGCCAGCAGGTTACAAATCCACAAGGACAGGATGTCTCCCAGTAGCCGAGGGACCAAACCACTGGGAAAAAAACAGCAACAGACATCATGAGTGACAGGAAAACAAAAGCATTCATCTCTGGTGAAGGCTCCCAGTCATCCAGCTCATGGTGGTTCAAACGGGTTCACATGAAGGCAGCTGGGCTTCTTTGGTCACTTGAAGACTTTTTGCTTGTCATCTGAGGAGATTTGTCAACTCTGACATACATATGGGAGAGTCAAGCTTCTAAGCTGCAGCTGTCTGTTGTGGCTTAATGAGCAGAAACTGCCTATAAACACCTCGTCTGTCTACCTTCTGAGTCATCAGGGTCAGTTTTCTTTATTGTGAAGGAGTTGTTGTATTGATTAGATGCTGGAGGGTGTGACCTAGACTGTAACTGTTTGGGAATCAATTTTAAAGCTGCATTATAGGTGCTGGACAGAATCAGAACCAACTTTATGGTCAGTGCCCCAGCATCCTGAAGCACAGAAATGTGTCTCTGCAGGAACAAGAGGGAGCAGCAGCCTCGAGCGCTCGATCGCTGTTGAAACACAGGTGGGAGGGAGATCGAGGGAGGGAAGAGCTCATCGACTCCTGCTGTTGGTGGCCTCGTCAGGCTAAAGCCCAACTTATAAGCAGTGCTGGGAACGTTACTTTAAAAAAGCAATTAGTTATAGTTACTGATTACTTCGTCAAAAAAGTAACTCAGTTTCTAACTGAGTTACAAGATTATAAAAGTAACTAATTACCAAGAAAAGTAACTACTTAGTTACTTTTTTCATTAAAGCATGCAAGAATTATTACAATAGTAAAATATAAATGACTAATGACTGGAACATAATAAAATGTAAGTCCAAATGTTTTTTATAAACCTGAATAATTTAAATAAAAAAGCACTTAACAGGAGGAACTACTAACAGGAACATTACACTTATCTAGACTATTAAAAGGTCACTGTGTGATATTTAACAAGACCCCAATCAGCTAGAATTTAAAATTGCAAATAGAAACACCTGTAAAGGTTCCCAAGCCTTTAAATGGTCTCTCAGTCTAGTTAAATTACAGAAATAAATGTAATTTTGCACAACATTTTGCTTCACATAATTGTGTGTTTTTAGTAGCATTTCTGTTGCTGATAATCTAGTAATGGTTAAATAAATTAATAAAACCTTTAAAATGACACTAGAAGAGGCACAAGCCTGATGGAGGACTTACATTTACTAACTTGGGTCAGACCCAACCACAGAAGAGCTGAAGCTGGGTGGTAAACACACACAGGTAGTTCTGATAACACCTGAGCTCCATGACGTCTGAGACTGATGCATCAGTGTTACAGCGGGACTAAAGACATGATCAGAAATAGGTTACAGCTGGATGATCTAGGAAGGTAGGAGATCAGGACGTCTGAGCGGTGAACAGGTGAGCGGACCTTCTGGGCGTCCCGCTGTCACGCTAAGGGCACGGCTGCCGCAACGAATCTGCGGGGGGTCTGCAGCCGTAGATATTCATCACGTCTTCCTCGTTCTTCACGGCCGTGAAGGGCTTGGATGAAAACATCTGCCTCTTTAGCTCCTGATCAGCTGATGACAGCTTCAACACACCGCGCTGCTTAACGCACGCATTTCCTTATCAGTAACAGAAACGATCGTTTTGTTAAAAGACGTAATTAATTAGTTTGCTCGTTACAGAAAGAAATAATTTATTAACGTGGTTATTTTAAACTGCGTTATTCCCATCACTGCTCTGTTTGGTCTACAGCAGCAGCGACTGAGACAGTGAGGGTCTCCGCCCACCCGGCCAATCATCATCGTGTTTGTAAGTGCGTTACCGACACCTCTCTCTCCCTGGCTGCAGCTGAAGTGTGGCGGTCAGAAAGCCTCACACTGTTGCTCAACATTCGACAAGCACATAGTAACGCACAACCTTCCGTCCCCAGTAACGGTAACGGCGTTGCAACAGTGGGAAAAGTAATTAAATTATTCCGTTACCTAAAAAAGAACGCTGTTATATTTAAACGGCGTTACTCCCAACACTGCTTATAAGTCTCCTTCATCTCTACGTGGGAGACACGCACGGATGGAGACACTAAGCTCTCATAATTCTCCATCTCCTGGGGAACGTTGCAAAGCAATTCCCCGCCTGGGCACTAGGGGGCGTAGTGCTGTTCTGTGGTGTCCTGTCAGGTATCCGGTCCATAATAGTGTGTTTATATTGTGTTTTTTGTATTTCAGAGACTTTTTAACACAGACACATTTGTCCATCATTCTCGTCCACCTCTTCATGTGTTCATCTCCTCTAAACCCACATTTCCTGTCATTTCCATCCATGAAGAAAGCGCTTGCTGCATCTTTTAACTCCTCCAGTCACGGGGGAATAAAGCGTTCATATCTTTAGAGTTTTTCTGTGAGGGGTTATTCATTCTTCTCCGTGTCTGCCGCAAGATATCCTCAGCTCTCTTTATGTCTTTGGTGGCGCATTGGCACATTTTTTAACTAATACAAGCAGGCATAATCATATCACACCGGTTTTGGCTCGTCTCCATTGGCTTCCTGTTATTTTCAGGATAAGAATCAAGATACTGTATTGCTGTTTGCCTTTAAAGCACTGAATGATCTGGCACCCAAATATCTGTCTGAGCTGCTTTAGCCAGATGTGCCGATGCGCCGGCTGCTCTGTACCCCACAATGATCTAAACGCGAGAGGAGAACGGGCTTTTGTGCACGCTACCCCTGAACTAGGGAATGCTCTGCCCAACCAGATCCACCAACCAGTTGCAGTTTTTAAATCCAGGCTTAAAACCCACGTTTATGATCTCGCTTTTATGAACCGAGTTATATTTTACATTTTAACTTTCAGGTTTTTTTATTCGTTTTACTGATCCTAACCATCTCCACTATGCAACAGTGGCTTTTTTTTTTTTTGTTGTATTAGTGTTTTATCTGGTTTCCTTGACTATTTCAATCAGCTGATTGGATGTTATTTGTTTTATCTGTAATGTTTAATTCTTCGTTGTCATGGCTTGTTGGCCTAGTATAATCACACTTTGGCCAGCTCACATGTGGTTTTTAAATGTGCTTGATAAATTAACTGGTATGGTTTATTCTGGACAGAGAAGATAGAGTGAGAGAGGGGTACACAAAGCCATCTTTGTCAAACTGGATAAACCTACATTAAACAGGGGAGTAGGACTTAGATTCCCTCCTTTCAGCACCTAGAATGCAGCTCTGAAACTATTCCTAAGCTCTTTCAGTTTAGGGCACATCCTCCTGCATCTAATTAACACAAAGGTTTCTTCACAAAAGAGGCTAACGACACAACAACTAATAGGGAGAAGGGGTATTATTAGGTAGTTTGTGCTTGTTAAGTAACAATGAATAGCTACAGTTCATAAGCTGGACTCTCCCATATTCCAATAAGAATTGACACAGCTCCTCAGATGAGAAGTGATTTGTCTTCAAGAAACCAAAGCAGTCCAGTTGCCTTCTTCTGAACCTCTTGGGAAAACTATCTGCTTCATATCGGAGGTTTGAAAAAGGCTTGGATCTCTTCCAGCTTCTCTTTGAGCCTTAGTGCAAAAAAGCACATCTACTGTATGTTTAACTTCAGAAGGTTTAATAAACCTGGTGTTGGGAGGTTCTCCACCCTGATGGCATACAGTGGTTTAGTTAAACTCCTGCTGCTGGGAACAAGGATCTTACAGACCAGCATGGTCCAGTCCAGGATCTCAGGTCTGCTACCCTGCAGGCTGGAATCGTTTCTCTGCTCAAACCAACAGATCAGTAGCTGCACACCTGCTGAAGTGGTGACTGTCTTGGGTTGGCGCCAAGGGCATGGCTAAATTTTACCTGAGCCCACCCACTCAAACGGCTTCCCTAAAAATTATTTGTAAATTTATTTTATTTTGGAGGGGTGTCTCTTCAGGCCATCATGCAATGACATTAAACAGAACTAAATTTCAACTAACAATATTTCAGATATATGCATACTTACATACACACGCATATATATATATACACACACACACACATATTCACACACACACACATATATATACACACACACATATTCACACACACACATATATATATACACACACACATATTCACACACACACACATATATATATTATATATATATATATATATATTATATATATTATATATATTATATATTATATATATATATAATATATATATATATTATATATATATTATATATATATATATATATATTTTATATATATATATATATATATACGTAGGAGCCAATATTGTTTTGGTTTAGATTATATTATGGTCTGCGGAGCCTATAAAGGTGTTGAGGTGTGACGGGAGGTCACACGGTTTTTACCGCTTAGTTTGGTTTCATATGCCACTTCTAATTTGCTGTTATAATTTTCATCATTTACATACACCTGGACAAGAAATAGCCATTCTGGACCCTGCATAACTGAGATGGTCAACATATTCAATAAATGGGACAATAAACCCAAACCCGCTTTCTGCCTGGACAATATTGTTGAAGCGAGTCGTTGCCTCCACCCGCACCCAAGGGTGACTAAAAGTGGGACTTGATAGTCACTACAATATATATATATATATATATATATATATATATATATATATATATGCATTTATATGTATGTGTATATATATGTGGGGCAAAAAAGTATTTAGTCAGCCACCGATTGTACAAGTTCTCCCACTTAAAATGATGACAGAGGTCAGTAATTTACATCATAGGTACACTTCAACTGTGAGAGACAGAATGTGAAAAAAAAATCCATGAATTTACATGGCAGGATTTTTTAAGAATTTATTTGTAGATCAGGGTGGAAAATAAGTATTTGGTCACTTCAAACAAGGAAAATCTCTGGCTCTCACAGACCTGTAATGTCTTCTTTAAGAAGCTTTTCTGTCCTCCACTCGTTACCTGTATTAATGGCACCTGTTTGAACTCATTATCTGTATAAAAGACACCCGTCCACAGCCTCAAACAGTCAGACTCCAAACTCCACTATGGCCAAGACCAAAGAGCTTTCG